CTTCTACCAGTTACTCCGCCAGTTTTAGTTTCATGTGCTAAAAGTACTACGTTATTAATGTCAAAGAAACAAACTACTACCTTGTAAGACAATACTTTCGATTGAGCAATTTTATGCAGTAAGAAGTTAACAGCCATTGTGGCTGATTTGTTTTTTCTGCACGCAAACGACGCGTAGGGTAGTATGTCTTGCGATTTTAGGTGGTTGCCTAATCTTTTTTTATGGCCAGAATTACACATTTCAGTGCAACAGATACTAAAGCTATTGGTCTCTAGTTTGGATAGTTTTCTGGACTTAGGTTTATTTATGGGATGGGTACTATTTTTATTATATGCCAGTTTTCTGAGATTTCGTTAAATGTCATGAATTGCTGTGCGTATATTGTTTAAAGCTTTATCTGATATGGCTCTAAGCATTTTAAACGTTATCTTTTCGTGTCCTCTTGCTGAGTTTGGTTTTTTGTTGTTAAGTATCTGTCTAAGTTCTTCATATGTTATAGCCAGATTACATTTTGAGATTATGTGTTTGTTGATTGTTCTATGGTATTGTGATGGTGTGATATGTTGTTTTTTTACATTTAATATTATTTGGCTTCTTTTGCAGTTGTCTCCTCTTAGACCCCTAACAAAACTCCAGCCTGTTTTAGTGGTAGGGTTTTTTTATTTGTTTTATCTTTTCCATAAAGCTATCTTTTTTGACCTTTTTTCAAATTTCTTCTTTTTTATTTGGGTTTCCTCTCGGCGTTGATGTCGGTTGAGGCGTTTTTTATTTCAATATGCTCCATTTCGGTGCATAGATCTACCACTTTTAGTGCTTTAAGGAGTTTATTTTGAGCTTTAAACTTGAGTTTTGTAAATTTATTGGTTTGGTTTTCGATTATGATTTGGAAATGATGACTTCCTCCAGCTCTGATGGGGTCAAATTTCCAAAGGTATTCTATGTTACTGTTCGAAAGTGATAGATTTAAAATACAGCCTATGGTTTGTCCTATGTATTTTTAGGATTCATAGTCTCCTCTTAGACCCCTAACAAAACTCCAGCCTGTTTTAGTGGTAGGGTTTTTTTGTTTGTTTTATCTTTTCCATAAAGCTATCTTTTTTGACCTTTTTTCAAATTTCTTCCTTTTTTTTGGGTTTGCTCTTAACTTAAAAGGAGCAATAAATAAGGCGAAGCAGGTGTGGGTCCGGCATAGTTTGTTTTTCGATTTATATAAACGAACAAACACGAAAATTCATATTGCTTACCAAAACGAGAATTCATATTATTTACATATTTACATATAATAAATAAACTATTCTTTCACTTCAACTTTTTTCGGGTCGTATAGCCGCGCTTTGGATTTTGACCCTGGACCGGACGGACACCGGCTTCGCCTTGAACAATATTTTTAAATGAAATGCCTTTATGAAAAACACTGTTTAATTTATTTGTTATTTTACATGCAAGCCAATATGAATTTTCTTTATTTATTCATGTTATGAATTTTCGCTTATGTTCGTTTCAATAATTCGAAAAACAAACTATGCCGGACCCACACCTGCTCCGCCTTATTTTGCTCATTTTTAAGTTTCTTACCCAGTATGGCAACGTCGCTTTCGCCATGCTATGTTTTATTCATTGCTCTTTTTCAAGTTTCTTACAGAGTATTGCAATGATTTTTGTGTATTCTTAAATGTTTATAATAATAAAACTATTGCAAAATTCAGCTTTCCCCGACTTTTAATGAAAATGCGTCTCGTTCGTCCCTGGCGTCCAGATCGGTACAGCATAGTTTACGACCGGCCGGCCAATTGCTTTATAAGTAGTCAGCAAAGTTTCTTTGTCTTTACCCCAGGTGCTGCCGGCTAGCGCTTTGAGTATTTTGTTGCGGCTCTGGAGTTCCGCGGCAATTGCGGTCGTATGCGGAGTGAAGGAGTGCATGCTGCCTAGGGTTACTCCCAATATTTTTTGGTTGTTAACCTGTACTCCTTCATCCAGCTGGTGAAGAGGGTAGCCGATCTGTCTTGCAGTGAAGAAGTGGGAGAGATCAGCGAGGTAGCCGTTCGCTTTCGAACAGAGGTCATCAATATCCTGGCCAGACGCCATTATCGTACAATCATCGGCATAAGAGGTTAGGGAAACTCATTCTGGTGGTGGAGGGAGCTTCGAGATGTAAAAGTTAAACAGTAGCGGGGAGAGGAGACCACCCTCCGGAACCCCCTGTTTAATTTTTCTGGGTTTAGATATTACACCTCGGTAAATTACCGATGATTGTCGACCACTCGGGTAGCCCATGACCCACCTCTGCAACCCCAGCGGTAATGAGGATTCCTCAATGTCCGTTAGTAGCACTGAGCGATTGAATGTGTCAAAAGCTTTTGACAAGTCCAGTGCTACTAGGACAGTTCGTGCGCAGGGTCGGTTTTGGTTAAGGCCATGGACTATCTGGGTGTTTATGGCGTTAAGTGCTGTTGTGATGCTGTGCACTTTTCGGAAGCCATGCTGATGCGCTGCTGGACGCAGATGGTGAGTGAAAATCGGGAGCAGTAAGGCCTCAATTGTCTTCGCTACTGGGGAGAGGAGAGTTATCGGCCGATAGGACTCTCCTTTGTTGGCTGCTTTTCCTGGTTTGAGTAGCGGGACCACCCTACCCATTTTCCACACATCAGGTATCTTCAGGGTGGTCCCCCTGAACCTCCTTCCTGCAGAAATCAGGCACCGCGCTGGTGTTTGGCAGCTTGCGGGTTACACGTCGTTTCGCTTTGTCTACCGAGGGACGCAGTGTGAAAAGTCGGCTAAAATATCTCGCGCATCTCTTCGGGTCCGACGAGGCGCGATCACCGAATGAAATTTCCACCCGGTCATCGCGTCACGTCGGGTTAGACAGCGACTTGAAGGTAGCCCAGAGCTTGGTTGCACCAGAAGAGAGGTTGCAGGTCCTTAGGTGCTCCTCCCACTTTTTCCGCTTGTGATTGTTTACTACTTTTCGAATCTCCGCGTTTAAATCCCTGATTAGGGGATTCCCGGAATAGGAGCTTCGGAGGGTGTCGCGCCTGGATGCTAATACCGCCGCTTCGGTCGGAAAATTTGGGCGGATTTCCGCAATTCGGCCTGCCGGGATGAAGCGGAGGGCAGCGTTCACGACGACCCTGCGGAATAAACGTTTACCAGTGGTGACGTCTGATGGAGTGGGAACAGCATTAAATGCGTTTTCAGTGAATTCCGTGAAGCCGGGCCAGGCTTTTTTGAAGTTAACAAATGTCCGGTGGTCCGCGGAAACAAAGTCGGGAGGCTAATGTCAGTATAGGTCGCCAGACTATACTGTTTATCAGACCAGCACTCGCAATTGTTATGTCTGGCGAGCTTTGGCAATTACCCATAACTCTGGTGGGAGTGTTATCGTTCATTGTGCAGAATGTCGAATCGTCTATCTGTTCTGCCAGCTCCATTCCTCTACGGTTATTTGCCAGGCTGGAGTGCCAAAGATCGTGATACGTGTTAAAGTCGCCCAAAACCAAACGGTTTTTGCCCCGGAGTAGCGCACCTATATCAGGGGAGTATCCTGCTGGGCAACTTGTAACTGGAGGAATGTATTTATTGAATATTTCGAGCTCGACATCGTCTGACCGGATACCTATGCCCTGACATTCTAGAGTAGTATCCCTGCGGTTATGTCGCCATCGATAAGACGATACTGCACGGTGTTGTGCAGGATGAACGCTAAACTCCCACCGTGGTCTCGCTCGCGATCCTTTCGGATTATGTTGTATCCGGCCCGGCTCAGAAGATCTGATCGGGCGGTTAACTTGGTTTCCTGGATCGCAGCAATTGACAGGTGCTCCCGGCTCATGTAGTCGACTATCTCGTCAATCTTTCCCTGGAGTCCGTTACAGTTAAATTGTGTGAGTCGGGTCTGTCGCGGGGGGTGAGGGAGTGATGCGTGGATGGTGTGTGTTGCTGCTGTACTACCCGCGAGAGCTGGTTCCGCACGTTGGGGTTAGTTGGCGGAGGGTTTGTCGAAACATCCGAAAGTGACACCAGCTAGAGCAAAGGTTGCATCTGACGACGCTCTATGGTCTGACACACGGAACAGACAGTGCGGGGGACTAGGAGCTGCTGGGTAGCCCTCGCACGAGAGGAGCTGGTTGTGGGTAGGGATGGGGGTGGAGGTTGGAGGGAATCATGCTGCGGGGAGCTCCGTGAGGCCGTGGAGGTCAGCTGATTACCCAGAGTGGGTACAGGTGCTGAAGGCACTGCCGGGGAGGCTGAGGGGGCGGTTGGACGCTGGCAGCATGGGGCCACATAACTCTTGGTCCATTCCCTGTGAGTCTTAAGGCCTGAGCAGGCCGTAAGATGACTCCAGCCATTGAACTAAGGTGTAGGAATGGTGGAGTCTTCTATGACACATGCAGCAGAAATAATCCGTCGGATCAGAAGGATTTGGAGCAACCCACCTGCAAGGTGTTGCTCCATTGGCGAACTTAGACCAAAGTTACCTGTTGACCTAAACGGGGTTAGGTCGCCGAAAGGGTGACAGCCCTTGGCCGGATAAAATCCGGGTCAGCTCCGGTGCCTAGAACCGGCTGTCGTGAGAGTTGGAAATGTACCAGTAATACTTTTCTCTTGATATTTGAGACGGAAAAACTTATAAGATAGTCTATAAAACTATTCGAGACTTATGGATTTAATTGTTGGAATTTTTTAATCTTATGTATATAATATGTATTTAGTTGGCCCTTTGTTACCTCTAAAGCGATATTCGGCCGAGTTTCTCTTCCAATTTGTGGTTTTCCCGTCCTGATGTTTTTTGAACAGTTTATACTAAGGCATCTCCGAACGGCGTATGAGATTTTTTTATGAGGAGTTTTTTTCATGTCTAAAATACACTCGGAGTGGTTGACATTCCCATTAATTCTATTATATTTGTTATATTTCTGTAAATCATAATTTACGTTTTTGAAGCTTTATTGTTTGTAGTAATTTTTTTTTGGCTTTTACGTATCCAAATGTTTCTCTTACAGGAACAGCGAGTGTGTACGACTTAGCAATGAGCACTGGAGGTCTTGTGGTAACAGAGAAATCTTCTCAGCATGATCAAGATGGATCGCCATTTTCCTTTGATGCTGCTACAGGAGTCTCAAAAGGCGGAGTCGCCGCTGTCAGCAACTCAAGCGTCCTTCACGTAAAATCTACTGGGGCATTGCATACAAATAGTACTCCATATACAAATCGTAGATCAGCAACAGCTTCTAATTCGCGACCAGGATTTAGCTCTGGCGGAGCTGTTCAGCGTGTTGGTAGTGGTGGGACAACTCGCGGCAGTAGTGGATATGGCGCAGTCGGTGATCATTCCATGACTCAGTTTGCCTTGATAGATGATGAAAATGTCTCAGCTTTGCAACAAGTAACTAAAGGCGGTGGAGCACTTACCTTAGCTTCTCAGTGGAAAAGTCAGTTTGATGACTCGGAGGATACAACAGATAATGAGTGGAAACAAGAACCGCAGGTGTGTATTATGAACTTAGCATTATTGGTATAAGATAGTCAAAACATAATGTAAGTGTTTAAGTTAATATGGCATTTGCAGGACAGCCCAACTTGTTTCACTCTCTAAATTATGAATGCGAATTACACCTATTTACACGGCACGGAGTTTGACATTTTACGGTTTCGCTTGTTTGCTCCATTTGAAAACGTATGGAAAATTAAAGATTTTAGTAGAAGTAAACAAAATTTTGTATTGAATTGGAAATGTTATGCCAGTTTCTTTACTAATTTCTAATTTTCTTCTTTGGTTTCAAATCAGGGATTTTGTGTTAGTGTCGACTTATATGATTCTCCTGTCGTTTGTTTTGATTTGTCAGCTGGTTTCGTTAAAATTTCGATGAGAATTAAAGAAGCCATCGATTTGGTCGTAAATCGCAACTGAGAACGAATTACCCACTTTTACTGTAATTCGCTCACAAAAATTTGGATGGCGAATTAAATAATTCGGCATGAATTTGGAGTGCGAATTACGATTGAGAGAGCGAAACACGTATTTAAGCTGTCGTGGAAATGCCATAAAAGCTGTTGTCCATACAATTGGCAAACCTTGCTAGTTCAATTGCTTGTTTATAAGTAGGGGTGGGCTCCAAAACGTCAGTTCCAAAGCAGCCATACATTGTTATGCATTCCTAAATGCAACTGTGCAAACCTTGACGATGTATCATGTTCAAAAATGTTTCTGTAAAGTTATGGATGCGCAAACAAAAACAAATTGCGCATCGCTAAGGTTTGTAGGGTTTTACTTAATAATAAATTATTTATAACAAATAACTGGAGGATAAGTTTCTTTTCAAACAATGTATTACTTATTTGGCGGCAGCGGTAGCCGAGTGGTTAGGATTGCGTGCTGCCATTCGGAAGGCCCGGGTCCAAATCCTGGTGTCGTACTTATATCCAAAGAGTTAGAGAAGTTTAATTTAAATAAAAAATTAAGCTAAGTTTTCTAACTGTGGTCGCGCCGCGGTAGGGAATGTCAACCCCTTCGAGTGTATTTCTGACATCATATAAAAGCTCCTCATAAAAAACCGCCAGCCGATCGGAAGCGGCTTAGTATAAACTGGAAGTCCTTTCATCTATGGCAAAAATATCAAGCGCTCGGCCGAAAATCGCTTCAGCGTTAACAAAGCGCCAATTATTTATAAATATTTATTACTTTTTTGTCTATCTGTTTTGTGATTTTACCATTTTACCGGAAAGCATCTTATCTGCACGAAAAACTTTCCAAAATATCAGGGTTGGCAAACTCGCCCTACATAAGAATAGGAATAAAGAGTTTACGAGTAAACAAAGATGACGAGATGAAAAACTTATCCTCTTCGAAACTTTATATTAAGCAATAAGCCAGAAAAAGACAAGAAACAAGTTTCTGTTGAAATTTAAGCAGTCAATTTTTTTTACAGAGGTTGTGTGACAATTGGTCATATATAGTAGAATAAGGTGTGACATTTTTTTCTATAGTGCGAAAAATTTCACATTTGTTATGGTGCTATGCACTTTATTGAAGCCATGCACTATCGACTCCACCCCACCTCCACCTCGGTTAGGTGCAACCAGTGCAATGGTTCGAGCCACCTTAAGGTCTGCTCAGGACTATTGCGCCGGCTAAATTGTTGAAGGCCGGTGCACAAGCTTTAAATCCTTCACCCATTGTGGTCATAACATCTGCCAATGCCTGCTTGCTAAATTTTTTTGAAAAAAAAAAAGTGACAAAATAATGAAAACATAGTCTAGCTATGTTTGCAAATCGAGAATTTCTTGCTTTTAAGGCTTTCGCTTGTGTTTGCGAAATTTCTAAAAATGCGTTTGGCATGTTAGCGATACTTTCACACGCCTTTTCTTACTGTCTCTACGTGGAGTTTTTGTGGTTTGTGTCGCAGGAACCGATGCATGCATCTCCAAATAGACCCCTTTTGTAAACGAAGGCAACTCGATAATGATTCTTTCTTCACCCTCCTCTAAGCACAGTTGCAGTTCTAAATATTGGAGAGAATTTTAGTCCCTTATATTCATAACAAATTTGTTATTTTTCGTTTTCGATTTCGTAGCCCTGGACATAGTCATTACCTACAAGGGCAATGTCTTGTGTCTCCAATTCGGTGACTGACTCCTCATCAATGGGATTGGTTGATATGAATGGCCGCTTTCTTCTCCGGTCTAAAGCCTGGATGGTTGTGCAGCTTTTCAGATTCTTCCATACCTTTTTGTAAAATATAATTTTTACATACTGCCAAATTGCTTAAAAATATATACATACCGTGCGCCATAGGTCGACACTTTTTAGAGCACCACCAATGCAACTCAGCGTACTAGCTAATTCCCTCCACTTCCTATCGCAGTCTAATAATACAAAAACTAATAAACGTTTTATTTTACTTATATTTTTCAAAAATATGTTCAATAGCCAGTAGAAAAATATATACATACTAATTTGGAATAACGAATTTATACGTCTTTGTCATTCCCCTTTGTGTTTTTCGTATATTTTGATGTTTGGTTAAGCTATGGTGCTGCTTTTCTTTCATTTGAATAACATGGAAATGTCCGTTGTCAAATATCGTACCTAACTGAGTTAGAGAATAGCATATCCGTCAGCGCAAGCGACAAAATTCGTAAGTTTGCGATCGAAAAACGTGTCGATAAAAGTTACAGAATTGCACCACTGGTCTGCGCTCCTCGTGTGAGTGAAGTGATGCGCACGTTGGTCCACGCCTTAAAAGTCTGGCCCACATGCATCCACAACAACGCCGCCGAGCAACACCAACGTGCAGCGGGGGGTAGCACAGCGAGTAATACAGCAACAACAAAATATTTACTGAGAACGCCTCCGGTGCTCTTCCCACTTCATCAGACGTCGTCTCTGGTGAACTTTCATTCGACAGGATTGTCTTGGCCGCTGCCACCCGCTTTACATCGGCAGGCCGAATTGCGAAAATCTTCCGCGACGCCCTTCGTAACAACGATCCCGGAAAATCACTAATCAGGGATATAAACGCGGAGGTTTGCAGAGTTGGTAACAACTATAAGCGGGAAGAGTAGGAGGAGCACTTAACGTTCTGCAATCTCTCCTTTGGGGAACCAAGGTCTGAGCCACAGTAAAATCGTTATTCAACCCGACGAGATGCGATGGCGACACCGACGGTATAACCGTGTTTATGCTAAAACATCTGGGATCAGCGTGGGGTTGTCCCTCTACTCAAGCCGGGGGAACCAGACACCAAAGGAGACTCATATCAGCCGATATTCCACCTCTCCTTAGTAGCTTGAGACATTTACTGCTCCCGTCTTTTATTCAGCATCTGAGTCCAACGTCACATCAGCGTGGGTTTCGCAAAGTGCACAGTACCACAACAGCATTAAGCGTCATAAACAAGCAGATAGTCAATGGTCTTAACCAAAACCGACCATTTGCGCAAACTGTCCTGACAGCACTGGATCTGTCAAAAGCTTTTGACACCGTCAATCAGTCAGAGCTATTATCGAACATTTAGGCATCCTCATTTCCTCCGGTATTGCAGCGGTTGATCATCGACTACCTGAGTGGTCTACAACCAACTACTTCTGTTTAATTTCTTCATATCGAAACTTCATCATCCACCAGAAGGAGTTTCCCTAACCTCGTATGCCGATGATTGCACGATTTTGGCTTCTGGCCAGGATATTGATAACCTTTGTTTGAAAGTCAACTGCTATCTTGCCGATCTTTTTCACTTGTTCACTGCACAACCGTTAGAAACAATACCCTCGGCTACCCTCTTTATCAGCTGGACGAAGGAGTACAGGCTTGAATTAGATGTGAAGGTCCATGAGGTAAAAATTCTGACAATAAACAACTCAAATATATTCGAGGTCATACTACCTGCAGTCCTTCACTCCGCATACAACCACAATTGCCGCGAAATTCCAGAACCGCGACAAAGTACTCAAAGCGCTAGCTGATAGCACCTGGGGTAAAAATAACAACTTGCTGGCAACGTGCAAAGCAATAGGCCGTCCCGTTGTTAGCTATGCTGTACCGACTTGGGCACCGACGAGGACGAGGAATAAGATGAAGAAGCTTTAGGCTTGCCAGTACACTGCCCTCAGGATCGCGGCACACTGATGTCGCCGGAACATCACTTGACCAACGAAGCATCTTTGAGATACGTAGCATAATGTTGTGCTGTGCCCGCAATTCCTACGGCGTACAGACGAGCATTGAACGCCATTCACCAACAGTCAATCAACACCTTCACAGACTTTCGTCCCGTGAATGGCGTTCTCGGAGTAAAAGCGCCAATTATTGCAGACAATGAGATCGAGCTGCGTGGCAGTGGCACAACTTAGGTCTGGATACTATAGCAGTGTAAACTCTTATCTAGCCAGACTCGACCACAACATACCCAACGTTTGCCCTGCATATGAAGAGTCTCCACACGACACTCACAACCTCATCACATTCCCCCTGAAACCAAAACAACTAACACCCTTCTCCCTTTGTACCGATTCCGTCGAAAGAGCACATTTCCAGGACCTCCCGTTAGACTACCTTGGCTACTTAGATTAATTAACTAGTCCCTAAGCGGAGTAAACGTATCCGCTAAAAAAAAAAAAACAACAACAACATACATGGTTTGCTGTCAAATCAGAGTTTTAGGCATTGGGTGAGTCGCTAGGAAATTCTTTTCAAAACAAACGTTTATATTTTCAAGTGTTTGCCCTTATCCGACGGTTATATCTAAGGATATCACTGCGATTTTGTCCGGTGACGAAATTCGGACACATTTAAGAATCTCTTCCAGCACCTTTACAAAAATTGTTCAGTTGAATATGATCTGATTTGTTTTATATATTATTGTAGATGGCATGTAGCTGCAGTTATCGGACAGCAACAGTTTTTTTGAGGTTTAGTCGGTACACAGTGAATAATGTAATTATCAAATGTTAAATGAATTTATAAAGCTTCGGCATTTGATTAACCAT